GCCGGGCTCAGAGGGGGCCCCCGCCTCTGGCCCGCCCACCTGGTGGGTAACACTGACTTAATTCCTTACAGAGCGCAGGGCTGGGCCCTTACCTAGCCTGCTATTAAAGTCGCCGTCCCAGCCGCTGACCAGGACTATTTGTTGATTTAAAATTCTCATTTGAACCAGTTTCGCCTCTTTTCCAACAGACACATCAACAGAGTGGGAGTTAATTGCCCTACGTGGCCTCCCCTCCTCCTACCCCTCATTTCTCTAGGAATCCGTGTGTCTCCCTCCATCAGGTCCCCTTTAGGGGTGGAAGTGGGAGGCGCTCTTGCACAGGTTGGGAGAGGAAATCCCGGTGACTGCAGGGTGGAGGGTGCCTGGGCAGATGCTTATCTTTGTCTCCAGCCGGGAAAAGAAGTGGCTAGCACCCTCTCCTGCGCGCGCGCGCGCGCACACACACACACACACACACACACACACACACCTTTACAGACCAGAAACCTAGGCGTGGAGGGATTCAGTAAGTTATCCAAGACCGTATAATTAGCTGTGGCAACACCGAAGTCAGAACCCCAGGTCTTTCTGGCAAGGGCTTTTACAGCAACACCATGGTTCGTTCGTTCCTTTCTTTCTTTCTTTCTTTCTTTCTTTCTTTCTTTCTTTCTTTCTTTCTTTCTTTCTTTCTTTCTTTCTTTCTTTCTTTCTTTCTTTCTTCTTTCTTTTAGAGAGATTTTTGGTATAGGGTGCATGCACTCACTGGAGAGACAGAAAGTGAGAAATCACTCCCTCCCCAGGAGGGATGGCCACACCTCAATCCCTCCTGCATTCTCCTCTCAGGATTTTGGGCACACTAGCACATGAGCCTGGCATGAGGTTTAAGCCACTGGATCCAGGACTTGAACCACCGTCAATTGCATGGGAGTCTGTAACCATTAAGTCATCTGCTGGTCCCTGGTTTTTTCCTTGACCTGTCCTTGAGCCTCCCACCCATACACCTATCCATCCTTCCGGAGGCCATGTGGCAGGAGGCACAGTGATGGGGGCCTCTTAGTAACTGATCTGCCTTGGCAAGACTTGGAGACCAAGCTTATTCTCTAGCTAGAGAGGAGTAAACGTGAGCGTGGATGTAGGCCAAGAGAAGAGAGGATCCTCTGCTAGAAGGGAAAGGAACTTTGGGTCTTAGTCCTGGCTCTAACCTGACTTAGACTTGGGTCAAGTAACTTTTGCCTTTTAGTCTCAGTTTCCTTGTTGGCAAAATAATATGGTTCATAGTCCGGAGTAGACACTCTTCTAAGTTCTTCACAGTGTGTCTGCTCACTTAAAACTTTACGGGTGGAGAAAGTACTAGCACCGTTGTCCTCATCTGAACCAGAGAGGTAAAGTAACTCGCCTGTGGCTCCATGGTGGCAGTCTGGATCTGGCTCTGGTGTCTGTGCACTTCCAGTATGCTGTACCTTGAGCTCTGGGGACGCTGTACAGAGTGGGCTAGAGGGTGGCATCTCACTATTGTCCTACGCTGTCTCTGTTTCAGGCTGCTCAGAGACTGTTGAGGGTGAAGGATCCAAAGCGGTCATACTGGTTGGGAGTTGGCTAACTTAGCTGTGTCTGAGAATCATTCTTGGAGCTGTTCAAGGCACAGTAACCAAGGGACCTATTCAGAACCTTCAGCCTGTGCTGTTCGGTGTCTCCTGGGTAGCCTTCAGTACTGTTAGGTTGCCTCTAGTGGCAGTGAGCTCACCACCTAACTTTCACTGCTGGACAGAGCTAGTTCTCAGCTGTACCTGGCCTTGGAACTCACGTCTTGGCTGGGTTCTACCTCCAGTTATCGAGGCAAATGTGTCTGAGTTTTGAGTATCAAAAGCCGCTTTGAAAGGGCAGGACTGGTCTTGTCTGTCCAGCAAGGACCTGAACCGCACTGGGGAGAACACTTCTACAACCTCTGTCCCTTTACCCTTTCCTTTAACCTGAACAGGCCAGGAACACATACGGGGGGTCACAGATGGTTTTGTAACACAGAATGGGTCTCAAATGTTTCTGTAACCCTTCTGTCCTGAGAAAGGAACCAAGTCAGGAAAATATTTAGGATTTTCAAAGAGAAATCGGTGCTATTGTATTTGAGAAGAGGAAGAGTGTATTTGCTTTGTGGGAACTGGGCTGGGGTGTTGGTTGGCTCCTGCAGAAGGAAATCTTAGTGAGTGTCCTCTCTCTCACTTACAGGAACAGTGAACCTTGGCCCTCCTTTCCCTGGGGGAGGAAGGCCTTTTTGATTCTTTAAAAACAAGAAAAAATAACACAAAATCTGTGTGAGATGCAAAAAAGAAAACCAAATAGAATATGCTTTTCTCTGTCTTGATAGATGCAAGCTTCCTTGCAGCTGTACGAAGCCAGTTTCTTTTCCAGTAACTGCACCCTTGGCTTCACTGCTTCCCTTCCCTCCTCATTTTAGTTCCACCGATTTCTCTGCATTTATTTTCTCCAGGTTACATTTTATCTTATTTTATTTTAATGTTGTTATTGTCAGGGGTGTGTGTACTTGTCAGAGAGAGAACGTAATTGGAATGTAGTTGTGTCACAATCTCTTTTTTTCCTGCCTTCTCATCCTCCTGGGATGTCTTCAGCTTCCCATGTCTTATAGACCGTCCCATGTCTGCATATACGTTTTTTTTTTTTTTTCTCTAATGTCTGCATATTACTCCAAAGTAGAAATAGAAATCATGTCTCCATCTCTTCCCTTACTAATGGACATTTATGGTTATTTAACATTGTTCAGCATTAGGAATGGTATTTAGGGAAGCTTATGTATTTACTTGTGTGCACAAGTGTATTTCTGTGGGACAGAATCCAAGGAGAGAGATTCCTGGGTCAAAGGAATTACCCATTTTCCACTTGATAGATACAACCCTTTAAATTGCATTACTCTTCCCCCTCCCCGAGTGCCCTTAACCACCACACCACCTGCTGGCCTCCCAACTATTATTTTTTAAAAATATTTTCAAAGCTTATAAATGAGTGAAACCTAATAGCATTTTCATTTGCATTTTTCTAATTACTACTGCAACTTAATATCTCTGTATATTTGTGAGTCATTTGTTATTCTGTGAATTACTTGTTCATGTCCTTTCCTCATTTTTCTACTGAGTTGATTTTCCTTATTCCTATTTGTCGTAGATGTTCTCTCCTGCTCTGAATCTTAATCCTTTGCCTATATGAATGATGCAAATATTTTCCTAGCATAATGTGTACTGTATCTCTCTCTTATTATCACAGGGCACGTGTGCTTGCCAGAGAGAATAAGCAACCACACCCCAGTGGGGGCATAGGCACACTATAATCCTTTTTCCTCCATTTCTCCATCCTGTGAGGATGTGAGGCACACATACACATGCACCCAGTGTGTTTTTCAAGCCGGTGGGGCCAGAATTTGAACTGCAGTCAGCTATGAGGGATCTGGCCCCCATGCACAGGGTTTAACCCATTGTACCACAGGGCTGACCCACATAATGCTCTGTCTTTCCATTTTTTTTTATTGTGGTAAAATATACATGTATAATATTTTCCATCTTCACTATTAACTATACAGTTCAGTAGTATTAAATACATTCATGTGTTTGTGCACTCATTATCACCATCCATCTCCAAAACTCCTCGTCTTGCAAAACTGAAATTCTATACCCATTAAATAATAACTTTGTATTTTCCCCATTCCCCAGGCTCTGGCAACCACCATTCTATTTTCTGTCTTTGTGAATTTGACTGCTTTAGGTATCTGATGTAAGTCAATGAAAGTGAATGACTTACTTGAATTAATGTAACCTCTTCAAGGTTCATCTATCATAGCAAGTATTATGATTTCTTCATTTTTCCATTATGTTAATATCAATTCATCGTGCTTTTGTCTTTATTTTGCTGCACAGATGTTTTAAATGTTTATGTGAACAACATAGAAATCTCATGATTTCTGTGCTTTGTCTAACTTAGGAAGGCATTTTTCACCTTAAAAAATATTTTAAAAATTATTTTGTTTTGGGACCAGCAGATGACATAATGGTTACATCGCCGGACTCCCACATAGTTGACCATGGTTTAAGTCCCAGACCCGACAGTTTAAAACTCATGCTGGCCACATGTGCATGTGTGCTCAAAATCCCAATAGGAGAATGGAGGAGAAGGGATTGCAGCATGGCAATCCCCCCCCCCCGCGGGGGAGGTGACTTCTTGCTTTCTGTCTCTCTGTCTCTCTGTGGTGAGCTCACATGCCCTATACCAAAAATCTCTTTAAAAAACTATTTTGTTTTTCTCTAATACTTGCATTTTGGTTTTCATATTCAGCTCTTTAAAATAACAAATTTATTTTATAAGGTGAAAAGTAAGGGTATAAGTTAAAAAGTTTTAGATGGCTGATCCAACATCATTTATTCATCTTGTTTCTAACTCATTTGAAATTATGTTTTTATCATAAAGTAAATTTCTATTTTTTATAAGTCCATTTCCCAAGTCTATTTTGTTTCATCAATTTTTTTTCCATTTTAATTCTTTCTTTCATGAACAAGAGAGTCAGCACCCCCAATTCAGTCCTCACCCTGCAATCCATCCCAACCTTCAGCCAGCTCTGAAGTCAGGTGCATACCCAGAATACTCAGGGAGGTCTCTGGACTTGAACTGGGGACCTTGCCATGTGGGATTGCCTTGCAGGGCATCACAGTTTATGGCTACACCACTATCAGACCCCCTCACTGATTTTTTTTTTTTGTCTTTTCCTATATTAGTACCACCCCGTGTTAAATACTACAGCTTTATCTGTATATTTTTATGTCTAGGAATATCGATTTGCATTTTTCTCAAAGAAAATTTTTTAGAAATGGTTCTCATACATTTTCTGTTTTGTATAAACTTTGCAAATAGCTTATCAAGCTTAATAAGATCCTGTTGGAATTTTTCTTGGGATTTTATTGAGTTTTATTTAATGTTCATTCTCGTGTGAGCTCAAGCACTGAGGAAGCAATTCATACAGGAAAGCCTTGGCGACTGACTCAGTCAGTTTGGTGACTGACTCACCT